TAACATTGTGCTAGGACTTCGGGAGACAGAGAGAGTGAGAGAGAGAGATGGAGTGAGAGAGAGAGAGAGAGAGAGAGAGAGAGAGAGAGAGAGAGAGAGAGAGAGAGAGAGAGAGAGAGAGAGAGAGAGAGAGAGAGAGAGAGAGAGAGAGAGAGAGAGAGAGAGAGAGAGAGAGAGAGAGAGAGAGAGAGAGAGAGAGAGAGAGAGAGAGAGAGAGAGAGAGAGAGAGAGAGAGAGAGAGAGAGAGAGAGAGAGAGAGAGAGAGAGAGAGAGAGAGAGAGAGAGAGAGAGAGAGAGAGAGAGAGAGAGAGAGAGAGAGGGAGAGAGAGAGAGAGGGGGTGAGGGAGAGAAAGGGAGAGAGGGAGTGAGGGAGAGAGGGAGAGAGAGGGAGTGAGGGAGAGAGAGAGATGGAGTGAGGGAGAGAGAGAGAGAGAGTGAGGGAGAGAGAGAGGGAGTGAGGGAGAGAGAAGGAGTGAGGGAGAAAGAAGGAGAGAGGGAGACAGCGAGAGAGCAAGCCAGAATTCGGAATTGGTCTTGACACCGACAGGCTTTAACGGTCTGGTAGCAAGGGTGTGAGAAGCATCACAGCTCAGGCCTTCCGACATTTTCCGTGCCTAATGGATCGTGCACGCGTGTGCACCGCAGTATGTAGGCACCATGCCACGTTTTGTTTATAACTCTGTCATGATACAGGCAACGATACTTGCTCACCATACCGTGTGAAGAAGAAGAAGAAAAGGTTATTGTACCATGCCAGCCGGCGATTATTCAGTCATTAAATATATGAATTGCAGTACATGATGTAGTAGTCACTCACCTACAAAATATTAATTTTGGTAATAGCTCTACATGTATCATGTGTACAAGTACTTGAATGTACAATTACATGCACATTCATGTACTTACAAAGTAGGGATAGATCAGTCTCTCCGTAACTCAGTCAGGGGGAGGGTTAGTGCATCAAACAGACCTACACACATTGTACATCATGTAGTTAGGTACTTGTACATGTACATGTGTATTACATATTAGCAGATGTACAAGACAGCATAATGATTATGCTGTACATGTACCACTTCGCCCAATCCGAGGCCGTGGACCACACCAACGCATTGCTGACTCGAAGGAGCACCATTGGACAAAGGCTGCTGACAGAGTCAGTTCAGGTTTCGCCTGGGCTATTTTTAATCGCTTTCTGGACGAGTGACGTGCACCGTGACCTGCATGGCATTGTCAGGTGTGACTAAAAAAGCTTGGTTGACACGCTGGCTCTCACCGCGTTGACATGCAATCTGTCATACTAGCAGCCACGAAGGATGGGCCATATTTACTCAGCCATCAGACGGGGTACAGTGCTGTGCTCAAAGTGTTTGGCTGGGTGCTGTCAAAGGGAGCCCGTGGCCATCCGAAGCATGATACCCAGATTGAGAGCTGTGACACGTGTGCAAACAAAGGTCCGTGACCAATCAGCTCACGACCTGTCAAAGATACAGCCAAAAATAGTCATTCGATTGAAAAGTCGGGAGGTCTATAAGTCGTGTCATAAGAATCATTGATATGATGTGGTATGGCATGGCACGGTATGCATCCATCGTCATGTCAGCGCAGCACAGAGAAAATGAGGCCGAACCTGATAGCAATGAAAACTATTTTTTCCAAAGCCAGATTTAGTAAACCAGGCCCGAACGTACATGTGCCTTGCCAGAGTGCTCAAACTGACAAGTCAGTGAGCTCTGCATAACGCAAACAGCAAAGGAACTACCCCACACGAGAGTGCTGAACTGCTGCAAGAACAGGATATAAACTTTTGTTTTTGGTTGACAGCATGTTACAAGATTGAGGAAGCACTGTGTTCGGAACACAGTGAAAAATACTATAAACTTTTGTTTTGGTTGACAGCATGTTACAAGGTTGAGGAGGCACTGTGTTCGGAACACAGTGAAAATACTATAAACTTTTGGTAAACAGCTACTTGAGTAAAAGAGAACAGAATCGCACGATACGATGGATGTAGTGAAAGCATTGTGGACGCATTGATCATTGGGCGCTGGCCAGCAAGCCTAGAGCGGATTGCCGCCGCATTTCTCCGGCTTATTGCGACGATTCGCGCTAACGGGAAGAACGATCTTGACGTTAGGAGTGCTGTCCGTCGCTAACTCGACACTGGCTACGGTCAACACTCACAAAGACCTTCAGTCATACCAATAGGCAATAGGATACTTAGACCACTAGGACACGCCGCCATCTTTGTCCTGGCACATTAGCGCGTGGGCAGGGGCAACGAGATACCCGCAGCGCAGCCAGAAAACTCCGTAAAAGGAGTCTTGCGCAGGCCAGCCTCGTTCTGAAGACAATGCTAGGGTCCTTGCTGCTAGCGATTAACCGTGGATCAAGTGCTCGCGCCATTCAAGATCACAAGAAAGTACGATACAGTGTAGTAGGTTTATTGTTGTTCTACCACGCATCGTTCATCACAATGCCGGGTCAGGATGCATTTTCGACAGGCTAGCAGGGAGGAAAACAACGAATGCTGCCAAGAGTCGGACTCACCAGTGTCGCGCCGAACTCGATCGTACCCACTACAGAGTACAGTGCTGCGAAGTTTGTCCTTTACTCCTGCACGGTGGCCCTGTGTTTAGTGCAGTAGTAGAATTGGTATTCTCGCAGATCTAATCTAGCTGGATGCAGGGCACGTGAGGCGTCTTGACACTATTTGCCAGTCAATCTGTCTTGTGGTTTTGCAACGTCGCACGTGATCCGGGCTAGATTCCACTGCGAAGACGTAGATCAAGGTGCGAAGATTCTCCCCTGCATAACGTCGATCATGCAGGGGATTGGCAGATACTCACGCGTTTTCAAATCTGGGCTCGGCCAGCCAACAAAGGGAGAGTAATAACATGATCAGCTGGCAATCCCGACACGGAGATCTACGATATAAATGCCAATTGTGCAGCAAAGTAAACACTTCATCTCTGGATGATCGACTGTAACACAGGTAATACAAAGATTTTCGTCTTCTGGGCTGCGTCCCGCCCGACATAAGCGTCGGTGCACTGGATTTTGGAAAGACACCGTATGTATGGAGAGCAGAGGCTTTGAGTGCTAAAGCTGACGAGGAATTGATCGCAATACCACCAAAGGTACAAGTTGCCAATATCTTTCAATAAACGGTGTCGAAATGTAACGACCCACATACATATGTATTTAGAATCAGTGTCGATGGTATTCTGCCTGTGTGAGAATCATTGTCGATGGTGTTCTGCCTGCGTGCACAATTGATATAGAATAAAAAGCCTTGGTCCACCGCATTGCAGGATGATAATAACAATATACTGCAAGTCCTGCAGGCTGTAGAATGTCTGGGGCGTGACACAGGTGTTGTGTGCCGTGTGCACGCTATGTGCCCTGTGCTCTTTCCAATTCCCAATTCCCGCTGTAGGATGGTGACGGATGACTATTGATGGATGAACGCAAACCCGGAGCAGTGGAGAAGCAGTACTACCTCTCAAGAGATCCCCGGATCTTCGCCGTAAGTTGGGCGAGACACACAAGACATCATTACTGTTTGTGTTGGGATATTCCAAGGTATTAAATTTGTGATGGCATACCGGTACCGATTAGCGACTACACATTGTGCAGTGGCTAATCGGGATGGTTAAATTCGTTCTTTGCGGATATGGGCCTATGGCTGGTACGACCGTACGATAATAATCCTGGGGCGATGATACGACATGAAGTCACAAGTGCTATATATGTGCTAGTGCTGATCAGGGCCTATAGTACAGGGAATCGTGCAATACCGTAATTCAACTGCTCCCTCATACTGCTACTGACGATCGACGCGTCCATGACTCAAGGTAATCACAGAGAGTCGTCTGCGACTCCATGCCGATCAAGCCAAGGCAAATGATGAGGGTAATGATGGATCCTTCGAAGGGTTGCGTGTCCCCTTGCCGTTGTGCATCTACGTACCAGTACTTCAGAAGTAGGACAACACACAGAACTTCAACACGTGTCCACAAAAGCGTACTGTTATGTACAGTACAATTGACTTATATCGTATTCTAGACATGCTCGTAGTACATGTACACAACACCTTGGACTTTCAATTGATAATAATTATCAAGAGTACATAAAATATTAACTGGTATTATAATTATCAAGAGTACATAAGTTCCTATTTTACTCTTGATAATAACTTATGTAGCTACATCTACATCATGCATGTGCTCAATCATGTGGATTACCGCTGGCATAATTCACTAATAGAGCACAAAAAGAGGCCACCTTCAAAGCAATTTGGCATAATAATTATTGTTGTCCTGTTTCCTCTCACCGACACGTCTGTGCCCGTACGTACACTGCCAAACAACTACAACTACAACTATAGCTAAATCCAAAGGGTGTTTTACAAATCTCCGAAAAAGATTTTAATTTAATCCCGATACCCTGTTGGACTTGGTTGTTGGTTGCATGTTTGTACAGTAACATACATGTGTCGGAGCTTCAAGCTTCGATATAACAGTGAGAATGTGGCCAGTAAAATTACATGGCGTGCAGGTAATCTACAAAAATTGTAGATGCCACAGGAAATGCCAACAAAGCGCTGTCGCTGGGTCTTTTCTCCCCAGGCCCTGCCAGGGAAATTATTGCACGACCACATAGCGTACCTGGCCTGGCAATGCATTTTAATACGGGTAGATCAGAGGGCATAGTACGGTACGCGTCTCCCTGATGATAACAGGGATACTACAAGTACACACCACAAATAGTAAGGTCATGGACTCTTGGTACCAGAGAGTGCTATTGCACGTGGCCAGGATGCTAAAGGAAAGGCAAATCGTCATCTGTATATTTGGGCATGCCTACAGTTCCATTGCTAGTCTCTAGCCAAAGTAGATAGAGGGGTTCAACCGTTGTTGGTTTGTTGGCGAGGTCACACATGTACATGTACAATGAACGTACGCACTCCACTCGTACTCGTGGTGGTCTACATGCTGTGTTCCACGCATGCATGCGAGGCCCATGCCATGTGTGCGTTCATGCACTGGTTGAGTGCACGACATTGTGTAATGACTATGTATGATGTACACGCTGCTAGTACACACGATTGAATACTTGCAGATGCATTGTTACATCTTTGGGTCGCCTAGACCTGTCAACCGTGCTGGCGCTTAGTTTTGTGGTGTGGCAAGTCTAGATGGAGTTGTAGAGTATCTCAGGGACGGAACAATTAGCATCTCGGTGCTCTGTTGTATGTGTGTGTGCCACTGTGTGTGCACCAAGTGATAGTCACATCATTGTTTTTGCTTGTTCCTTGTACACCGCGACATAGAACTTGTAAAGGAAACGCGTTGATAGGAAATCGTCGATTCACAACCAGCAGCACGCAGTATGCCCCGCATTCCCTGCTTTTAACCATACAGAACAGGAGTACCACTTCCGTTCTAGAGTATTGTCCACAGTAGATCAGCTAGCTGGTGCCAGCTCTCTGCCAGAAACCAACTTCAGTCGGCAGTGCTGCTGACTTGCACGACCTTGCAATCTGCTCGCTGCTCCGACCTTGTCGAGGTGCTGTTGCTAGGTGCTCGAGCGAAGCTGTTGGCGTCGTTCTCTCCTTTCTTCTCCTCTTGCTGGCGTGGAAAACGTTGCTCCTTGGGCCGAGAACTCACCAAGGACCTGCAGTCTTGAAGTAAGTCTTGTATTAAACATCTGGTGTGTCGCATGCGATGGAGCCAGTGTGTTCAAAACGCTAATATGCATGCCAATGAAGTACTCTTGGCACTGCACGGTGTAGTGACCTCTGGGGGATGTGTAGTACAAAGTTCCTATATGTATGCACATTGCATCGATGTTGTGTTTCATGTGCATTGAAGTCTAATATCGGGGTCAGATTCAACAAAACATAATCTTGTGCCATGCTTTGGCAGGGGTACCTTCACATAATGCACTATGTGAACATCTGATAAGACGTACCTCCATAGGGAACAGGAAACAGTACTTATCCGAGGTACGTACATCTATTATCCCATGTATCCACCATAGAAAACAATGTCAGACCTGTTACCAGAGGCTACTCATAGCTCCTCAAGAGTACACTATCCAGGCACTCTTCGGTCAATGCAATGTACCTTGAAAATTAATACTGTTGTTAAAAATGGTGTCACGTGTGGATCAAGAATAGGAAAGCACCATGAACTGTTTTTACTCTCAGAGATAAACTCGGATGGAGAGCCAAGGATTACAATTAAAAAAAGAGGGAACGATAGCACCTAAGCATGAGGTCGTTGAATGTCAGTATCACATCAGTCAGTTTTGTGCTAATTGTTGCACATTTTGACTCAACAGTATCCTGCTTATTCCGTAATCATTAGTGTTGGACAAAAAGGGTAACTTGTAAACTTGTGGTCCTCTCTTTTTTTTTAACTCCCAGATATACCGGTAATTATGTTGATTTCTGAATCTCAGCATTTGTTGTCATTACATCAGAATGAGTACGCGTATACGGGCTCTTGCTCGTAGTGAACTCCACTGCATTTGGCCATTGGGTAGGGTACGGTGAAAGGTTGATCCGGATGTACGGTATGTGTAAGGGGGACTCATGCAATCACAGACGAAGCAGGAGTAGTAAAATACCGGTATTTTACGACTCCCTCATTCCAAGTCAAACTCAGCAACCAATGAATGAGACGGTAGACCAGGTACATGTAGATAGGCAGCGAGAAGTGGCGACTCAGAGTTTTACGGTAACACAACAAGTAAATGTTTAAAAAAAAGAGAAGACCGTACGTTTACCAGTTATCCGTTTTGTCCAACACAAACGGTTATAAACAGGAGAATGGTGAGTTGGGATGCCACAATTAGCACAAACATGACTGATGTGATACTGACATTCAACAACCTGATGCAGCTAAGCACCAGGTTGTTGAATGGCAGTAGCTCATCAGTCAGTTTTGTGCTAATCGTTGTAGGCCTTGACAGATTATGCTAGCATAATTTTTCGCATAATTCCTACCAAAATCGAATAATCGCATAATTCGAGGTAAATTGCATCCGAATCGCATAAAATTGGAATAATCCGCCTGTTCGCATCAAATCCCATACAGTTGTACATGTTCTACAAGTACAAGTACAAGTAGATGCACCAGGAAATCGTAGGTTTACGACTCCCTTGAGAACATGTCCAGTCCACTACAATCAGTGACAGTCGTAGCTAGGTCGGATGGTGCGTTGACCCCGTTGAACTTTTGCTACTACAGTACGCCCTCTACAAAAAAATTTCCCTGTTATTTTGCACAGAACCATTATACATTAGCAGCATATGTGAGCATAATGCGGCATAATATGATAACTTTTAGCATAAAAATAGCATAATTCTGCAATTTTTTCAGCAATGCGAAAAGCATAATTTCACGAAAATATTAGCATAATCTGTCAAGGCCTAAATCGTTGCGCGTTCTGACTCACCAGTATCCTGCTTATAGTCGTTTGTGTTGGACAAAACGGATAACGTGAAAACTTATGGTCTTCTCTTTTTCAATCTCCATCCTTGACTCTCCATCCGAGTTCAATTTGCACAAGTAAAATTAATGCAAACGATCATCTGGAAAGTGGTAGGGCGGGGAGGGTGGGGGGAGGGGGGCGGCGGGTGTCACCACAGGTGACTAAAACACATAGGGGAGGACATGATGGCCTTTTCGTCATAGTTTTGTATGTGAGTGTGAAGTTTGTGCTAAATCCCTTCCAACACCTTTCACTCCTTTGTCTCTCCCCACTAGAACGCTACGAGTACATGACATTGTTTGTGCGAATAATCACAAGCAACTACATGTACATGTAGTTTGTTAGTTGCCCAGTGTTCGTGTGTTACAGTGAAATTTAATGTCACAACTAGTCTCTCTTTTCTTTCTCTCTCTCTCTCTCTCTCTCTCTCTCTCTCTCTCTCTCTCTCTCTCTCTCTCTCTCTCTCTCTCTCTCTCAATCTCTCTCTCTCTATCTATCTATCTATCTATCTATATCTATATCTCTCTCTCTCTATCTCTCTCTCTCTCTCTATCTATCTATCTCTCTATCTATCCATCTATCTATATCTCTATATCTCTATCTCTCTCTCTCTCTCTCTCTCGATTTCTCTCGCTGTCTCTATTCGTCCCTGGCATTCACTAGTCGCACAATGGGCTCGATTAGTCCGTGACCATTTTGCCAGGGAGCCCGCTAAAAATAAACCATGGTATGCAGCGTTCCCTGGGACTCCGACTGGCTTCTCCGACGAGCATCGGTTCGCTTCGAACCAAGATGGCGGAGTGATGACGTCATCATTGCGGCACGAAAATGTGTTGACATGATCTTGGTAACTTGATACTGGACGAGAGAGGTGTACTGTACAAGTGGAAATCATGTAGAGTATGTACAGGGACAAGATCCCTAAGTGCCTAGTGAGCTACAAGATGACAAAGCACTCCCATATACTATAGTGCCTTGAGAAGAAGGGGACGTCCCAGAGAACAGAGCTGACGCTTTGTACAAGTGTTTTAACTTTCTAGTTGAAAATTTGACCACAGCTCTTTCCTGGTTTGGCCCCAGTACGTCGTCCGTTTCCTTACGAAACAGGGTCGATGTGGAGTAGTTGGAATAGGTGAAGGTACTTCAGGAAATTAGGAACTTCTGGATTCACATGCACACTTCTTCTGGTAACTCTCTTCGCTCCCCCCCCCCTCTCCCGACACACACACACACACACACACCACAGTGACACGCACACACACACACACACACACACACACACACACACACACCACAGTGACACGCACACACACACACACACACACACACACACACACACACACACACACACACACACACACCAAATCGCGACGTTGTGTTACACATGTATACACCGGGCACTACTAACAAGGATTCTGTGTTTGTATATTCTTATGAATGTAAACTAAGAAAGTGATGGACATCACGCAACTGCATTACAATTAAAGAAAAGGGGGTTTGTCAAGTGACAACCGCTTTATTCAGTTGCTATTCACATGAATGTAGCAGAGGTATCTGACAAAGGAAAGGTAATGCGAGCTTCCTGCGCTGTTCCATAACAAAATATTCGTAACAAGACACACAGTGTACGTGGCCTGTATGTGAGGAGAGCGAGATGTTTAGCTCCAGTAGGCCTAAGTCAAGACAGTAGTATACTAACAGTAACACCACGTTATTGGTGTGAGTATCGGTTTGGAATGTGAAGGTTTGCAGCGCAAAGGATAAGGTATCGATTAGGAAATCGGTGAAGAGCCATTCGCGCTGTGCAAATGGTGGAAGCAGTAGAACTCTATTCGTCATATTTATTGTCGCCTAAAATTGCGCGAGACATTGGTAATTGCCTGGTGATGGTCTGCAATGGGAAAGTGTTTCCTTCACGGATCGCAAAAGCTTCGGAAAGCATCTCCCTAGTTGGCTACCTCGGCTACTACATTGTAGTACTCAAATTCGATTCTCAAACTCCCACGCAGTGGAGGAATGTTCCGCCCGTAGGAGGAAGGGGCGACTCTACCCTAAACTGTTTTTATCACTCGCAATGTGCTCGGGCGTGCTGCATCTTAAACGAATCGTTGCGTTGCCTCCCCTGCAAATACCAGTCGAGACTGTCTGTTACCACGACGGCCGAAGCGCGTTCGGCAAAGATCAGAATCAACTAACTTCACGTGACCCACGTCCTGAAAATGTGAAATGAGTGGGGGGGGGGGGGGAGCGGAGTTTAGGAGCCACTCACTCTCATCGACGATCGCTTCTGCATGTTTTCTGCCACCTGTTACGGAAGGAACGTAGTGAGCCCAGGCACTGTTGCTTCCGTTCGTGTAAAGAAAATAGAGTTCACGCTGATCTTGCATCGCTTTTCCACGCCTGAGAGCACCCATTGTGTTCCAACGGAACTGGTAAAGAGCGATAAGTCTCGTTTTCAGTTTGTTCTCTATCTTGTCGTGTTGTTTGTGAGCATGGTGTGGTATCTTCCCTTCGCCGCACTCTTCTGCCTTGCTTATGGCGCTGACCAATCGGGGAAAGTGACGAGCTTTACTCTGGCGGACTGGAGCCTCAGCTAGGCGATCTTCCGACTGAACGCACGCAGCGTGGCGTCAATGGATTCTTTCACGTTTGGGTCACGCGAAACTGTTGTCAATTCGTGTAGATTTTAGCGCTGCCCATCTAATTGCTTTTGGCAAACCATTTATGGCGGGTAATGCAAAACTAGGAGTCTGATTAAATCCATGCTACTGAGGTCAACACTGCTTTACTTCATGGTGAGTTGGCGTCCCTACATACCCGATCAGCTTCCTGTGAAAGGACAGTAGATTCTCGTCATGTGCAGGCAGGCCTGTATCTTCTGAAACACCCGCAGTCGTTCTGTGTATTACCCCTCGATCCATATGGTCATGCGACCCCTGTGCTTGCTCCTCTGGACGAAATCTGTTGAATCACTGCTCGTACGATCTCGCACTTGTATTGTTATCGATTATGGACATTCAGACAGGGCATAATGGACCTTGGGAGCTTGTGCAATGAACGAGCATGATGTACTCGATACATGGCTATAGTTCATGTGATCCAGAATGGAGATTCGCAAGTTCAAATCTACAATGTAGACCTGCAAGGGTACATGATTGTCCACATCGTGTCATGTTTAACCAATACCGCTAAACACTGTATAGGCAATACTAGGACAGGTCTGTGGGCTGTGGCTGTACAATAGACCGCATGTCAGCAGCTGAGGATGCATGGAGTCAACAGTAGCTACAAGGAAAGTGGAACCGATCGCGTGTTCAAGATATTTTAAGCCCTGTAATGCGTAGAGGACTTGTGGACGATACATACACTCCCACACACGCACACAGACACACACACACATACATTATACATACACGCATACACAGACACATACACACGCACACAAACACATACACATGAAGAGGCATCCCGCCCCCCCCCCCCCCCCCCCCCCAGGGTCCAGTGTACGACCTGGGGTCACAGAAGAGCAGAAAAGGGGGTCATTATGATCATGTCTTCCGCGTACTAGTAGTTACAAATCCTGTGTGAATGAGCAAAGCTTGGCCAGCACAGAGGCCCTTACTAGTACTATGTACCATCAGCTGATTTAGGTCTTGGCACTGTGCTCAGTTGTTGATGTACCACTAGTCCTGGTATGTAGTTGAGCGCTTGACATCTTTCAATGCCGTCACAATCTGCTCGAGTTCTCCATGGGATTGTGATGACCATAGGCCAGGCAGACTGGTAGCAATGCAGCCAGGATTCCTATGCACAGCCGCCATCATGGTCAGTAGCGATAGTCTCTTCTCTCGCGTTGTAGGAGCCAAAACGCCATTCCGCACCCACGAAGTCATTACTTAAAGGAGCGATTGTGTCAGGCCAGTTTCCTCGCCTTTCTTGTCAAATACAGTTTGTAGAAGACGAACAAAGCGATCAGTGTAGTCACCTCTAAAACAGGTACATCCATAGACTGTTCAAAGATACCGACGTGGGCTTAGCGTACTTTTACATGGCGTGGAACTTTGCGCAGGCCATTAGGAATGCTCGTCATACAAATTGCCTCCATTGAATCATGGGTGTAGGCGTTGTAGACGCGATCATGTCCAACAAGTCATGTCTCTTTGCAGAGTGCATTCGTGTATTGTACGAGTCGTACGTTACTGCCCCTGCCTGAAACTTCATTCTTCGGCTGGACGAAGACAATGTCAACACGGTCGCATGACCTCTCTTTGCATGGGTGTGTGTGCATGTGTATGTGTGTGTGTGTGTATGTGTGTTTTCTTCTCATGAGCAGGCTCAGTCGCAGCAGCCAGCACCGCAGTGCACCACCGTCAACCAACCAGTCTCATTAGCGGTCAGCAACACGCACGCCGCCGGGCATATAAGTTTGCTGCGACCTCCGACATCAACCATCATGTTGGCAGTTCTTCCTCCTCCCTACACCGCCACGGGTCCAGCCCTGGCTTTAACCACGGATCAGGCAGTCCACAATACCGTACTGTACGCGCCTACACCGCCTCAACCGGCAACGCTAGCAACGCAGCACCAGCAAGTGCAAAGCGCAGCGCTGGAGCCCAGTCGGCTGGCATTCCACAGTCCTGGAGTCGCGTCTGGTCTGGCCGCGACGCAGGCTCAACGACGAGAACTCGTCACATCGCAGCCCATCTTTCTGCAGCATTCACACCCATCACATCTTTTCCTCAGTCAACCACCACCACCTGCAGCAGCAGCGGTCGCATCTGCAGCGGCAGTGTCACAGACTGGCTCGCCAGCAGCAGCAGCAGCAGCAGCAGCGGCAGCCACAGGGAGGGCATCAACTCCGGTCGCCGCGTCCGTACGGGTACTGACGCCTACACAACCTCCTGGTGGGCCGAGTGGCAGCGAGCTTACAACAATGCTGCAGGCACGGGTCAGCTCTCCTTCAATTGCGCCCTCCTCAACGCTAACTCGCGGAACTCAGGTAAGACACCCTGGGCACTCACTCACTCATCATAATAGAGTATTCCGGGAAGGCAGCGACACAATCATGTACATGTACTGTAACACCTGTCAAGGCGACCACTCGGATAAGGCGACCACCTGTCCCAGACAACCACTGCAACAGGACCAAGGGATACCGGTACTATGTCCTGTCAAATGACCCTGGATAAGGAGACCACCTGGTAATAGAGACCATGTTTAGAAGGTCCCTAGAGCGGTCGTCCTGGACAGGCTTCGCTGTACATGTACATTGATGCTATTTTAAGAAATGATCCGTTAACGGAGTCTACATGGACATTGTAGGCGTGAATGCACCAGCAGGAAAGGAATTTCGGATCTTTCAAGGAAGAAACGATTTAAAATTTAATACAGGGTCTTGTTCGGCCATGTGACGTCACCGCATGTACGGGGCTATACTTATAAACATCATGTACATTAATGGCACATGTACGATCATGTACTTCATTGCATCACTATTCTTTACTATGGTGTTGGCGACACAAAGAAGAAGGAATGAACCATCTGTTAACTTAATTTAAGGAAGGGTACCGGTTCAAGTCCTGGTGGTGACTGTGGATTTTCCTCATAAAGTACTTTGTGTGTGGCTTCACATTACCTAATACCAAGTAATAGTAATGATTGAAGGAGCCTTCGAACGGGATGGGCTTCAGTTTGAAAACACTGCTACTGAGGAAACATTTCTGGACAATCTACTGTTTGCTGCTGTGCAAACATACGTGAATAATGAATAATTATACACTTGCAATGTCGCATGTTAGACAGATGTGGTCTGGTCTATGCCTGGACATACCACAAATCGATCATGAACATCACATTGCACAGTGAAACCTCATTTAGAAGAACACTGATAGGTAGGCATATGCGGATAATGCCGGCAGAAAAATTGGCAAAATTCGGTACTTTTTCTGGTAAGTTTCATGCATGTTTGGTATGTGGATAAAGAAATGGAGCAGAATTCGAGGAATTGCCCGCCATAAGGTTTGTATGGTTCTGCCAATTTCACCGCTTTTAGAGCAGAATCTGCCACCTTTTCAAGCATTATCCGCCAATGCCTGCTGATAGGACAAACTTTCAACAGATTTCGCTTCGGAAGAACTACAATATACATTGTGGTCTTTCTTGTTGTCAGAATATTCGTTGGAGCGAGGTTTCATACATTGTACGTAGTCTTCATAACAAATTGCTGTGTATTCACTGGGTATACAAAACGGATAAGAAGAACTTCCGTTATTGCGAACAATACCATCGATCCCTTGGTGTTCATCCTAAAGAGGTTTGACTGTACCTGTACTCGAAGAGGTCTCCATGAAAGAAAATACGTCATCAACATGTATGCAAATCGACATGGTGATGCTTTTGTGCCCGAATCTCGGTCACAGATACTGACAAAGATAATAACGGTGCCACTGCAAACAGAATGTACGCGAGTAGAATATGCTCACGTGGCATGATCCCTTTGGATGACATACATGTACCTGAACGACCAAGAAGCAGGCCAGAGCGAATGGGCAAAGGAAGCCACGCAGCGTGGACAGGATTTCCCCTCTTGTGTCAACATCAGTAGTAGCACAACAGCTCTACAAGTACAAGTGACACGAGGGAATTTCGTCGACGGGTTTAGATTGTTAATGTTCCCATCTGGACGCTTGTAACACACCAGATGACTACAGGCGCATACAATGTATCACACAGCATTGTGTATACAATCATGCACATGCACATGTACATACCCAATGCTGTGTACATAATGACTAAAATTGTACTCAATCAGTTATCTCCGTATGTTGACGTATGTTATACACACCGCTAAATACAGCGATGCTAAGAGAAATCCAACCCGATGAATTCACCAATCAGAAACAGCGCAGCAGGCCAGCAGCCGCTCACAACGAGCATTGTGTCCTGCACACTGGTACTTTGTACGGTGACAGTGTGATCCCGACTCCGCTTTAGTCATGAGGTCGCATTTCCGTGTGACTTCCACCACTATACTATGCGCCTGTAATGTACATAATACAATAATGTACATTGTACATACTACCAGTGGTATGGTGTACATGTACTTCAGGGAGCAGGACAAGATACACAGCTGCACCTGATCGCGAGTCGACTCGTACTCGTCAGCTTAGTTGCTTGTCGCTAAAATGCACTGAGGTTGCTAAACACTAGGTAAAGAACTATTTGGATGTAACAATAAGATGAATGTTGGCCTTTCCTTGCAAGGGAGATGGTAACGAAAGCTTTCTTCAGATTTCTATGTACATATAAGTGGTGGCCTGCGGAAGCGAAGGCTAGTTTGTGTGTTTCTGAACATTCAAGCGATGCCAACGCGAATCCCGCGAATTATTATTATTATTATTATCATGTAAGTACTTTCTTGTAATTGTTAGCTGGCATAACTATTTTCCACGTTCGCTTTGGCACAGCATTGAGTCATAAGTATTATCATACAAAAGGCTAGTATCCGCTATGCGCAAATTTACTACACACCACCGAGGCGCTCTGTGGCCGACCACACACACACTTCAAGAGGTTCCTTCAGAGTACATGTGTAGAACTGGTATTCCTTCTGACACCTGTTTCGGTGATTGGGACCTCGAGGTCGAGTCCTTGATGCGATTAAAGGTCACTTTATGCCGATTTTGATGCATGTCGCAGACACAAAGACAGACACACACACACATACACACAGACACTGAGACAGACAGACAGACACACACACACACACACACACACACACTACTACTATGTACAACTGCCACAAAATGGCCACGTCGCTCCCAGAAGCTGGAGACAACAGCGAGAAAAAAGAAACAAGGAGAATAATTGAGGTGAAAGGGGACCGTTCTACACATAGCTAGTGTTTCTGTCTTCGGTGGCGGGTGAGGTCCTGCGGGCGGGAGAATCGTTCGTTACATAGGCTGCATTGAATGGGCAGATTAGTCCTCTGGTCCTTTCGCACACACACACACACACACACACACACACACACACACACACACACACACACACACACACACACACACACAAACACACACGCACACATACACTGGCAACCAAAGGGAATAGCAGGTTACACGTCACTGTGATAAACATGCTACACGTACTTCTGAAATACAGGTAGCTTGTGGGTATGTGGTCTTTGAACGAGCAACCTGGCCCCAAACAATCGAGCGTGCTGAGCAGGAAGGAGACCCGTTAAAATTCTTCAGCAAGTACGCGTGTGTGTGTTTGTTTGTGTGTGTGTTCACGAAAATCGGTCAAACAACGAACCAATGGGTGTCCAGTCGACGGTGCATTTCCGCTGCCTGGAATGCCCCTAAAACGCACCAAGACTCTTGCTGGATTGCACCGCATTGCAATTATATTGCACGCATGCAGGCCTGTTCAGACTGTGTCGGCTGGCGTGTTGACGAACGAATACATGAGCATGGAATTAGGACACGTACATGTGTACATTGTGGAATCGTGTCACTGTATACATGTAGTGCTTGCGAGTACTAGTAGTACTAGGATGGTGGCTACTTCACAAGGACAACGGTGTTGTGTTGTATCTAGTGGCAATTAGGCCAACATGGTCAATACCGTAGTGCCAGAGGGAGAACTTCGCTCGTGCTCTCCTGTATTTCCTGCATACTTTCTTGAGCGAAAACAAGCTTCTCGCGTTGGAGTGACTCAGCTACCAGTACTTGCTAGTTTGTTGTGGACTCCGTACAGGAAATCAATTACTTCATGCCGACCGAAGCAGTGTTGCTTGACGGCCTTCGACCAAACCTTACCAGCCTCACGTTATTCGACAGCAAGTGTTCTCACAAGAGCTTGACTTGCATGGTTGTCTTCCCCTCTGTTTAACGATCATAACGGACTGGAAATTCATAGCTGTACGACCGAGTTGAAGGAGTAGTTTGTTCAACTATGTGGTCTTCTTTTAGGAAAGGTTCTAGTGCGACAGGCTCGAGAAGACTTCATTCAGGAGAAGCGATTGACGACTGGATCAGATGTGTTGCCTGTGCCGGGCTGCAAGCAACGTCTGTGGCACTGTGACCACCTGTAGCGACGACCGCCAGGAACATGAGCAAGGCAAGCGAACACTCGTCCTCCTCGTATTCGCCAGCTCAGCCAGCCATGGTCTTGGGATCGTTGTGAATAGAGCTAACTCAAACCTCCAAGTACTAGTAGTCAGCATTTCCTCCTACAAGCATTTAGGGTGTCACACGCCGGCCATTGCCTGTCCGTTCATCTGAGAACACTTTGTACTCATCAGAGAACATACCTGTTAACATACATAGCTCAGGATGTCGTTGGTGTCGTTGGTGTCGTTGGTGCTCGGGTAGACAGGCTCCGCCCGAGTGTCAAACTTCGTTTTCTCACTGGTCTTGATTCACGAGCCCGTCGTGAGGCATTGGACGTGTCGCCAAAGTGTCCGTGTGCCGGCTCACGATCCACCAATTTGCGCTTGCAGATCTAGACTTTGTGCCTGCATTCGTTTGTGATAGGCCTGATAACTGCTGTCTGTTACGTCTTCGACTCATACATGTACAATCGTCTACATGCTGAAGTGTATGAACGCCAACATACTTTCGTCATGCTGTGCACACATCTCACACAATCATACAGATACTGAGATAGCACCGGTTAGTAGTAGTGGTGCTTCGTGTACGCGTTGCGCTCTTGCGGCGACAAACTCAGTTTACGCCGGTAATGCTGAACCTTTTGGAACATAGACATCCACACGCGCGCGCACGCGCGTACACACACACACACGCACAAATTCACACACCGTCCAAACGAAAACAAACCATAATCTGAGTATCCATTTCCCCTTTCAATCCCTCAAACTTATGAAACACTGTCTTTGTGTGATTTTCAAGCGCCTCGTTGTCCACAAGATGAAAACGGAACAGCATGCTGTCCGCAGATTGAGTAGTTATGCAACTTTATAGTTTATACTTGTAGTAA